CAGTCAGAAATCTTTTATCCAAGTTCATCAAGAGATGGTAAGATGTTTCTTTCCATCTAAACACTTTACTTTTACAGAATTTCTAATATTTCTACACTTGATAATCTATTTGTCTTTCATTTTAGGAGGAAGAGTTGGGGCATCCAGTTTCACTTGGCGAAGTATTTATGAGAACGCATACTAGAGCTGATGGATCTTTTGTGGATCAAAAGTCTGAACAAGTAGCTAAGGCGTATACGAAGACACTTGAAGAGAGATTGGCTGAACTGGAAGAGGAGGGTCAGGATACTACAAAGATTTCCTTTGAACATTCTCAGCATCCTAGAGAACTCAACATTGATGAAATAAATGATATCTTCCTTAAGGTAATTCATTTATGTCTTAAGTTTACTGAATGTTTGTTTTTTGTCTTTACTTTAATGAATGTTTTTACTTTACTGAATGTTTGTTTTTTTGTTTCAGTGTACTCATACAGATGACCAAAGCAACCCTTATGGCCTTGGATCTCTTGCGGAGACCCTACACAAAAGAAAAAGGAAGGAGAGTTATGCGAGCTCTTCTTCTACAGTTATAGTTGTTGAGCTTCAAAATCAGCTACGGCGCAAGATCTCTGATCAGGATGCTGAAAATGCAAGACGTGATGCAGAGCACCGTACGTCTCGAGCTCGGTTCGCCAGCTTGGAGAAGCTAATCCTCCTTATGAAAGAAAAGGATCCTGACATGGCAGCCTTCATGTCTTCTTCTCTACTCCTGTAACCAGCAGTCATCATACCACCAACACACAAACAGGCACCCTTCCAATAACCACAGAAGCAGCAATCCAACCAGATGGACTCGCACCTGCTGCAACCACACCAGCCTCTCCTTTATCTAACACTGATTCAAACCCTATGAACTAGTCTTTTATTTGCTTATGTTTTTGTACTCTATAATACTTTGTTAGGATGGTTTTTATTAGTGTTTTTGAATGATAGATTATTTGCATTTGAAATCAGTATTGCAGGTTTGGGATTATTTGCATTTGAAATCAGTATTGCAGGTTTGGGATTATTTGCATTTGAAAGCGAATATGCAGGTTTGGGATTATTAACATGTTACCACTCTGTGACCAAACCAAATAACAAATGTGACCAATCTGTGACTAAACATTATTACAAGAAACTCCAAATCTAGTATCAAAATGGTTACTAATAGAAGACTCTTTTGCTACACAATAATGAGAGTCTTAAATTGGTCGCACATTATTAAGACTCTTATGCGACTAAATTGGTACTAAAAGATATATCGTCTGCGACTAATGTGGGACTAAATATTCGATCCAAGAACTCTTTCGTTTGAACCGAACAAGTCGCAAACTAGTTGCTAACTTACGTTTGTCGCTCTTTAGTCGGAAATTTACAACGAGATTAACCCGTCACAGATTAGTCGTTAATTTGCGACGCTATATTTTATGTTGGACAAGCGTCGCAAATTAGCGACTATCTTGGGACTGGAAAATGTTGCGACCGTTTTTTTGCGACTATCTTAGTTAGTCGTGCAAGCATCGCAAAACCCTATTTTGCGACCGTTTTGCAACCAATATGGGGGGTCGCAAATGACGTTTTTTCTTGTAGTCTAGTTTCTGTATGTCAGAAGTATAGCGTTTGTTAGAGGTCTTACCGATTACCAAATCAAGAGATCTTGGTTGCTGTGGAAAGCTAGAAGAGTCAGGATTTGCCTCGAAGTGGAATCAGAGCTTTTCATCTAGCCGGTCGGAAGTTATAACCAGAAGAGTAAAGATATGTCCAGACTGGCCAGAAGCTATGCAACCGTTACGGAGCTTCTAGGCCGCACTGGTCATAAGGGTCGAGCCCGGGCTACCTCCTACTCTCCACCCCAGTCACTAAGGCTTCTACCCTGTCCAGGAACTCGAGTTTGCACTTAACCTAATTCACGGGAAAAGACGTTTTTACTTCTAAACAGACTACTTGGTCTCCAAGACCTAAAATACATGTTGGAAGTCCTAAACCTAGGTGTGCACTCACCAAGAAGCCAACGAAGAACCCTAGAGGTGCAGCCATCAACGTCTACCTTGTTCTACGCTTTGAAGCCCACCAAATCTCTCTCTTTTCTCTTGTTTACTCTAATATCTATTAAGGTGAAGTTTTACCTCTTGTATTCTACATTAATCAAAGAAGTAATCTCTAAATCCTATTCAGTTCTTTTTCATCTCTTTCTTATGAGTTTATCAAACCTTACTTTGATGATCTCTTTAACCATGCTAGAGTAGTTTTCTAGTTGGGTTTAAATGGTTAATCAAAGGGGGGACATGATCGATCATCTAGGTGGCGATACTTAGGGTTTTGTTTGATCGTTTACACTGTATTCTTTCTAAGTAAGTTGTTTCTTAATGCATGTAGTTAGATTCATGTCCTAAATCGTGATCCCAAGTGTTTAAATTGCTCACAAGGTTGTTTAATACGCTAGACCTAGCTTACGAATGTGTATCGTGTTATAACAAGCACACACCACTTAGTTATAGGGCTTTATGGACTAGAATCGAACATTGATCTTATTGCTTTGATATATGCGTCGTTGCCTGCATAGGTTGAGTAACGAAGTATAAGGATTTTAGCCGACTAATTCTATAACATAAGGTTAGCCGACTAATTCTATAACATAAGGTTAGCCGAATCTTAGCCTAATTCTAGTATTTCTTAGATAGCGATCATTGAACCCCTGCGATACCCTTGATGCCCAACGTTTGTCTCTTATTGCTTACTTGCTTATTTTCCAGTTTTATTTACTTGCTTTCTTATTGCTTTCTTATTTACTTTTACTTGCAAATCGTGACACCAACCAACAACCCCTCTTTATTGGTTTGTCCTAGCTTTACTCGTTCTAACGACTTGTCCGAACTACTACTCTCTCTGTGGGATTCAATCCTTAAATACTACAACCGATTCATTGTGCACTTGTAGTAGTCGTGTGGTCTTTTGAGGTAACAGATTGAAGCGAAAAATCACACGCTGTCATTTATCTTTCCTTCTTATTATGATTCTTCTGGACCAAATATATATGAGAATTTTCCATGTAAAATCCTGCAAGGATCTTTGAAATAATATCTATTTTGCTAGATGTCCAATTTGAAGTTCTAACGAATTTTATGCACAATCTTATTTCAACATCTTCCATAAGAATGATTCCATCTCAAACTCTTTCATGTAATATTTCACTGTATATGAAAAATCTACAGGAGATCCGATAATATTTAACTCATCAACGTACTCTGTACTTCTTCTTGTAGCCTTCTTTTAACAAGTACTAACTAAGGCGATTATCTTATATATGCCCCGATGTTTTGATTCACATCAATATCAATTTAATTTCACATATATAGCTATGTTCTCGAGAACTATAATTTGTTGATTCTGGCAATAGAATCTTTCAGTGCAACTTCTATCTTTCAGGGCTGCTTATGATATTTTAAGACCTTATAGGTAGACTGAATCAAGTCTTTCTCACATTTTCAAACAGAGAAGGGATTTATATAGTTGCATCCACCACATGAGAGTATATCTCTTTCTCTTAAATTCCATGTCTTTGTGAGAATTAATTTTGTCACTAAACGTGCTTTATATCTCATAAATATCCACTTATCTCCCACTAGTTTTACACCTTCAAGTGTACGGACTTCTAGTCCAAAAACTTTCTCTTCAAGAGATCTTACTAATTTTCTTTTAGTCTTTTCATGATTGGCCAATCATTACTTTGTATATATACTTTTCAATAAATCTTTCTATTAACCGCGCGGTTCATGATCCTCAATACATCATCATCAATTGCTTTACTGCATGCAAAATATTTTACGACGTCGATTTGCTATTTGGTTCTATTTTATTCCAGACATGACTCAACATGTTGAGATTTCCTTTCATTATCATTCTCAGGTACCTTAATCTCTTTTCTTTTCTCATGTCTAAACTCTTCTAGAGATTATTTGCTTCCTCGGTGCCATATTAATTTATGCTCCTTTAATTTTCTTTTCCGAGGATGCTTTGTCTTTGGAACCAATAAGTCTATCACGCTTCAGGCGATCTTTAGACTTACTAGCAGTTGATCTTATCCTTCTAGGATATTACTTTTAATTGGAGCACACCTGGTGTGACTTTGTCACCTAAGGTCAGTAAATGCTTTTGGCATAATTTGCTAAACTTTGCAAATGAATTATCTTATAAATTTCTTGTGCACATTCTTTAGTACGAAGATCAAGATAATTATTTCTAATATATTTCTTTACCAGCTGTTTATTTTCTCCCCCTAATGTTGAAAGACTGACTCACTAAAATAACAGTCTGCATCTCGAGCCTTAAATAATTTCTTTACCGATGGCTCAATATAATCAATCATCAAGAGAGATTCATATCTAACATATTTCCAACATTATTTAAAATCTCATCTTATAATACTGTGGTGGAACAACTCTACATATATAACACATTTAGATGAGAAATATTTGGTTTCTAACCCAAACCAATTGTAACGGGGAGAATTCATTATTTTTTATTGGCTTGATGCAAATAAACTGACATAATAATAGTCATTTACTTAAGACATGGTTTCACGACCATTATCAATTAACCAAATACCCTCGCAAACTTCAGGTTGCAAGTTGATAACAAGAATATATGATGGGTGATCAGTCCACAATATCTTCTCGAATACGCACTACAGGAAATGTGGGTATTGATAGCACTAAAAGATAGCGTTTTTTATGTCTCTGCTATGTTTTACTTAATAGATAGCGTTTTCTGAATTATAAACGCTAGAAATGATTGAAGCGGGATATATGCAATTCACGCGGCCAATTTTCGGGTTACTAAAGTCTATTTCCCGCTATTGAAAATGTTAAGAGGGAAAATAGTGAAATTTTGTCTAAGGCAAAATAAAAGAAAACAAGAAAATTAACTTTTTTCATTTTTTCCCTAAAGCAAAAAAAAAATCTAACTTCTTCTCTCTCGATCGATTTCACTCGACTTCTCTAATAGAGAACAAAAAAAATCTGCAACTCATCTCACTAGAGATCTCTCGATCTAAGTCGGTTTCTATCGATCTCGAACAGGTATGTTCTCATTCGATCTGAGCCGTTTAATTTCTTTGTTCTCTGGAAAACCAATTTGATTTTGAATTGGAATTCAAAATCGATTTTGATTTCGGGTTTTCATTCTTACACTTAGTTAACATGCATGTCGAAGTCTGGCACATATATTGTTTCAATTGTGAAATCGATTTTGATTTTGGGTTTTAATTCTTAGATTTTGGGTTTTGATTATGATTTTTGGTTTCGATTTTATGTTGATTGAAACTGTTCTTCATCAGTTTCAGAAAATGGCAAAGACAAGAGGAGGAGGTCAAGTTGGTGCTCGTCATAGTAGGCGTAATCAAGGCTTGGAGGTAGAAGATGTTGCTCCTGCAACAACACTAAAGGTTAATAAGAAGGTGAATAAGAAGAAAACAGCAAATAAAGTGGCTCGGAGAAGAAGTAGTACTAGAGCCAAGAAAGTGGCTACTGTAGATGATGAGGTAGAAGATGTTACACCGAAAGTGGCTGCTGTAGATGATGAGGTAGAAGATGTAACACCAGAAGCTGTGGAAGAAGAAAAGGGTAACGACAAAGATATAACACCGGAGGCTGATCAGACTGAGAAAGCAATGTCTGAAGATGAGAATGAAGGAGAAGCTTGTTTGACTAGACAGGGCCAGGAGGAGGATAAAGAAGAAGAAGCTTGTTTGACTGGACAGGACCAGTAGGAGTATCATCAAGAAGAAGCTGCCACTATGGAAGTAGCTGCGAATAATGAAGAAGTTGCCAATATGGAAGAAGATAGTGTTGGCAATGGTCAAGATAAAGCGATTCCTACCAACACTGATGAAGGAAGTCAGGTACCAGAAGAAAGAGTGAAAGTAAGAAGAAAAAGAGGACCAACAAAGATGCGTAAAGTGGCTGAAAATCCTAATGAAAGGGTTTCAGTTTCTTTCACTGACTTTGGTGATCATGTTGGAACTGGTTCAGTAAGATTATCATCTTTTCTTGGTGTCCTCGTGAGTCAATTCATTCCGGTTACAATTTCTGATTGGATACAAGTTGATGCAACGACTAAAGAAACATTGTGGGAACAAATTCAGGTATATATTTATATGCAACTAATTTTTTGTTTAACAGATATGAAACATGTTTGACCTTTGCTTGTTGTACTTGATGCAGGGGAGGTTTGACATGGAAGAAGAATGGAAAAAAGCTGTTATTATGAAGCAAATGTGTAATATCTTTAGGGGTATGAAGTCAAGGCTAGTGACAAAAGTACGTGCTGCTGAGACAGCTGCTGATATACTAGCTTTAAAACCCAGCAACATCCCATCCATTCAAGTGTGGAACTCTTGGGTTAAGAGCAAGACTAGCAAAGCTTTTACGGTTAGTATGAAGTTTATATGTTTATATGTCATGTCTTATAGATTTAATCACACTCATATTTATAATGTAGGAAGTAAGTAACAAGATGAGGAAGTTGAGACATGATCAGATTCCTCAAACCTCCAGCCGCAAAGGATTGGTTCGTTTAGCTGATGATATGGTAATAATATTTGTCAATATCTATATATCTTGTTAGTATAAAATGGTACTGAGATATGTATATGTACTTTATATAGAAAAAAAAAGAGTTCAAACCCAAGTAAGGTGACTAGGACTAAGGTATGGATAGCGGGACACACTCATGCTGATGGTAGACCTGTGAAGCCTCAATATGCTGAGACTATTGTAAGAATTCTGGAACTTGTTATATTGTGTGTAAGTAATATAATCAGTGTTCAAGAAAGCGCTAGGCGCTAAGCGGGCGGTGACCCAGTGCCTAGCGCCTAGAACGCTTAATCGGGGCCTAGGCGATTTTTTAGGCGGTTTAGACGTTTATAACATAAAATATTATAAATATGATATTATATATAAAAGTTATATAAAATGTCTATATAAAACTAAAAATTATGAAATTATAAACAAAACTAGATAAAACATTTATTTATATTTATATTAAACAATATATAAATATGTATAACTATATATATAAATAAAACTCTAATTAAAATTGAAAAAAATACATTAAACAAGATCTATGTAACTTTAGGCGGTCAAGACGGTTATCTAGGCGTCGCATGAGAGCCTAGCGCCTAGTCGGGGCCTAGGCGACCGCCTAGACCGCTTTTTAGAACACTGAATATAATGCATCATGATCAATGAGTTTTAATATTGTGTTTGAATGTTTGTCTCAGAAACAAATACAATCACTTGATAGTGAAATGGACTCTACATCAGCTGCTGATAACATAAGGGAAGATGTTGTGAGCCAGATTTTGGGAAAAGACAAACCTGGACGAGTAAGGGGTTTGGTAGAGGGATTACGGCTACTAAGTTAGCGTTTATGCAAGCTAGAGACGCAAAAATGGCAGAAATGAAAAGTGAGATTGATGAGTTGAAGGGAATATTGTTTAGAGACTTAGCTGGAAAGAAGGTAATCCTTTTCATTACATTTAGTCAATTGGTCTGGTTTTAAGACATTAACAAAATTCCTTTTCCTTATCTCATAAAAGTTATTGTGAGAATGAAACATGTGAGAGTAGTGGTGTATTCAAAGTAGGAGATAGAGTACAACTACTGGATTGGATTCATTCAGGAGAAGTAGTTGTTGGTGAAGGAGAATTCTGTTCTGATGAACCGATGTACAAAATTGGTCGTATACCAATTGGTCCTAATGCAGTGGCTGTCATTGTTAGTTCTGTACTAAGCTCAAAAGCTTCTCTCTGGAGGCCTACATCAGATGTGTTATATCTTAAGGAAGCTGTTGGATGCAAAATATCTTGGCCAATGGACAAAGTGCTTAGGGTTCCATTCACTTCTAAAGATGTTTCCTTAGGGGTAAAGTTTTAAATTCCAATATCATTTTCTTAGGGGTAAATTGATATATATCTAATCATTAGGCTCTTACATTTTAGCCAAACAAGGAAGGTGAAACTCGAAGCTGCAAAATATTTGATTGGGAAAATATAGAGAATGATGAGCTTATTGCTGAAGGTATCGTGTGCTCATCTAACTCCAAAGAGAGGGTTACAATATTCCTCTAGGTCCGGGTGCTGTTAGTCTTCAAGTTGTGAAGGTGTTCAATTTTAATGCTCCTTTGTGGAGGCCAACTGCTGATATTAGTGTAATTGGTGAAGCAATTCATGAGAAAATCGCATGGCCAGTCCTAAAGATTGATGTCACGGCTACAGCCACTCTAGAACCAACACTAACTAAATCAGTGGTATGTTATTGAAATTAAGTGTTTCATTTGTTTGTCTGTTGATTGATGTTGGGACTTTCATTGATGTTGGAACTTGCTTCTATTATTTGCTTTGAGTTGTAGAGTCCATGCAGCAATAGTTCCACCAAAAGTCCAAAGTAGAAGTGTGTTCTTTTAGACTGCAACAATTCTGGTCGTATTGTAGCTGAAGGAACAGTGATGTCAACAGATCCAGAAGATAAGTGCCATAATGTGCCCCTCGGTCCAAATGCAAGCAACGTCTCTGTAGGCCAAATTCAGAGTTTGTGTTCATTTCTGATGCAGTATGTTCAGTTGTACCTTGGCCAACCGAGAAAGTGAAGTTTGTGTGAAACTTAGCCAATTGTGATATTGGTATTGTATTGGTATTGCCGGTTATGGATATTAGATTGTGTAATATTTGTATTGTAATATTATGGTATAAATTAAACTCTAAATTAAAGTTAAAATCTTAAATTAAATCTCTAAACCCTAACCCTTAACCCTAAACCCTAAACCCTAACCCTAAATTAAAGTTAAAATCCTAATTAAATTAAATCTTTAAACTCTAGATTAAATTTTAAACTATAACACATAAATACTTGAGTAAAAAAATCTAAATCCCAAAGTTTAAACCCTAAACCCTAACCCTTAACTCTAAACCCTAAACCCTAAACCCTAAACTCTAAATTAAAGTTAAAATCCTAATTAAATTAAATCTTTAAAACTTTAAATTAAAGTTTAAACTATAAAACATAAATACTTGAGTACAAAAATCTAAATTCCAAAGTTTAAACCCTAAACCCTAAACTATGCCTTAGTGTATATGAACATATAAGTTAGATGGTTGGAATACTAACCAATATTAATTGTTCTTAATTTTAAAATTTTATACTTATAAGAAAAAATATTCTAAAAATTGAAATACATATATTGTATTTTTAAAGAAATAATTTATATTTTTTTCATTAATAAAAAATTTTATATGATAATTTTATAATTTTTTCATTACTAGCCAATGAGAACTCACCTCCCACATTGTGGGACGAATCCTGCACCGTTAGATCGCGCCGACTATGATCTGAGCCGTCCTTTCTTATTGTTGACGCGATTAATATACACCCTTGATCTGTATCGCTGATTTGATCTGAGCCGTTCATGGTCTTAGCCAATAAGCTAAGACTACCGAGATTACACTCTAGGCGAAACATACACCGTTGATCTGTATCGCTGATTTGATCTGAGCCGTTCATGTTCTTAGCCAATAAGCAGTAACTACCGAGATTGCAAGCTTATTGAACCTAGACCGTTAATTCGTTTCACTAATTTTGATCCCAGCCGTTCATTTTTTATATTTTGATTTAGGGTTTATCATTTCATAACACAAATTTTCAGAGAACACAACTTCCCCAAATCGATTTTACCAAAAGTTCATCATTTCAGAACGGATTCATCTCCATCGTGACCAAATGGATAAGACGTGGATCTCGCTGCCAAGGTATACACTTAATTTCGCTTACTTATATTATCTGATTGAAAGAAATCTGAATTCTTTTCCAATTGACAATAAAGGAATACTATCGAGTACTCAGAAGGAGCAACGAATTTCACCAATTCATCTGCAAGAAGATTGGGAAATCTGTCTGAAATGCTATGCCCATGTAGAGATTGCCGCAATTTATGCCATCAGTCTATAGAGGAAATTGTTGAGCATCTAGTGCTTAGGGGTATGGATAAGAAGTATAAGACTTCTTGTTGGAATTTTCATGGTGAAAAAAGAGCAGATACAGAAGACAATGCTCCTCAACATGAAACAGAGGCAGTTGACTTGTTTAAGACAGCATTTTCTATGGGTGAAGGTGAACCAAATCAGACAGCATTAGAGGCAAACGACGATGAAGCAGTAGAGGAAACTGAGTTTAGGAAAAAGTTAAGAGAAGCTGAAACTCCATTGTACTCTGATTGTATCAAATACACAAAGGTTTCAGCAATTATGGGACTTTACAGATTCAAGGTTAAGAGTGGTGTGTCGGAGAACTACTTTGATCAGCTGTTGGGTTTAATTCAGGACATGCAACCTGAAGACAATGTACTTCCGAAGAGTTTAGCTGCAATCAAGAAATTCCAGAAGATATTTGGTTTCGGATATGAAAATATTCATGCTTGCAAGAATGATTGCATACTATATAGGAAGGAGTTTGAGAAGTTAGATAGCTGTCCAAGATGCAAAGTTTCAAGATGGGAAAAGGATAAGCATAGTAATGAGATAAAGGTTGGGATTACATCAAAGGTCCTTAGATATTTTCCAATCAAGGACAGATTTAAGAGGATGTTTAGATCAAAAAAGATGGCTGAAGATTTGAGGTGTGATATGTCTATATTTTACTTGTTTTGAGCATCCATTTAGCATCACTTTATCATCATTTCGTCATTGTTTCATACCATTCTTCATCATTTGTCATCACTTTGCATGATTAGGATACTTTTGCATGCATGTTGCATATTTGAGTTGTTTTCAGGTGATTTGGAGCTGTTGGTGAGCAAATTGGAATAAGTGGACCAGAACCCATCAGTATGCTCGACCACGAGGTCGAGCACCATCATCATGACCTTCCAAATGCACTCGACCACGACCAAGTCGAGCACCAAGTCGATCACCAACTCGATCACCAACTCGATCACCAACTCGAGCACCAAGTCGATCACCAAATTGATCACCAAGTCGATCACCAAGTCGAGTACCCTCTCCTTCACCAACTCGACCTACCACTCGACCTCGATCTCCACTCCCCACAGCCACTTAATCACAAGCTTCAGAGTCTTCTCAGATCCCAACTCAACCAGACACTGAGCATAAGGAAGAGAAGAGGATGAAGCACTACTCGACTCACCACTCGACCTAGGTACTCGATTGCATCACGACCAGATCAAGAAACCGCAAAGGCACCAACTTTACTCGACCTCTCTACTCGATTGCACGAGCCGAATGTCTCCGTAAACCGCCTTAATACTTTGTCGTCTTGTGATTTAGGGTTTCCTAGTATTTGCTATAAATAGGTTGTTTCTCTTAATTTTGGGGACGAAGTTTTATTCTGCAGAACAATTAGTGCTTTCTTCATATTTGTAATCCAGATTTCTCTTAATCTATTGAGTATTTGCTTTTGATTTCTTCTACAAAGTTGTTCATCTTGTTGAGATCTTGCTAATATGAAGTTTTTATGTATTTATGGGTTTGTGTTCTTGGTTATGAATTTTGAGTAGTGATTAGGGTTCTTGAGGATGGGTTAGAGTAGCTTAGAATCCTTAATCTGATAGGTGGTTGAGTTTGATTGGTAGATCCCTTCTGGATTAGTTGTTTTTAATGCTGATTGCTTTCTGATCAATTGGAATCTGAGCCCAGACATTTCCGCACCCAAAAGGTGTTCGATGAAATGTCTGAACCACTAATTCCAGAGATTCGTGGCTCTGT